ATTTAGCCAATGAAGTTTTCATTTTTTGACTGCTCACACTCCACTCATAGCTGCACTTAGAAGAGCAAATGTTGATCCGGCACTCGTGGAAGAGGTCTTCTTTGGCAATGTCTTAACCGCCAATCTTGGTCAAGCACCAGCAAGACAAGCTGCACTTGGTGCCGGGATTCCTTATTCCGTGATCTGCACTACTGTCAACAAAGTATGTGCTGCAGGAATGAAAGGTGACCTCAAAGATTACTCATCTTCTTCTTCTACTACTCCAAATGATGATCATTGAAACCTCATCATTGCTTTTTTACCTCACCTGTAACTTCAGCTGTAATGCTAGCTGCTCAAAGTATCCAGCTCGGTTTGAATGATGTTGTTGTGGCTGGTGGAATGGAGAGCATGTCAAACGTGCCTAAGTACCTCCCGGACGCAAGGTACTTTTTGAGTTTTTCCTTACTTCAAACTTGTAGTAGAAAGAAACCGAAGAGTGGCAGTTTCGCTCTGTTTCCTCGTGTTGAAAAGCTTTCTCGTTTGTTGTTTCCTCTGATTTCTGTGAGCAGAAGGGGTTCGCGTTTAGGCCATGATACTATTGTTGATGGTATGACGAAAGATGGACTTTGGGATGTTTACAATGACTTTGGAATGGGAGTTTGTGGAGAAATATGCGCTGACCAGTACCGTATTACAAGAGAAGAACAGGTCACTCATATTAATTCTTGATCTGTCTTTCAAGTTTGTTCCCGCGGACTGACTACTGATGTGATGATGAAACTGTCTCGCTGATTGTATTTTCCTCCTGATATACAACCTTTTCTTTTTGTAGGATGCTTATGCTATACAAAGCTTTGAGCGTGGTATTGCTGCACAAAACGCTCGATTGTTTGCTTGGGAGATTGTTCCGGTACACCTTTTCTTTCCCTGCATACCAGGAATTCAATTTATGGCACTGCGATGGAATATTGTTCTTACACTCTCATATTGATAGGTCGAAGTTCCTACTGGAAGAGGGAGGCCTTCGGTAGTTGTTGACAAGGATGAAGGACTGGGGAAGGTAAATGGTTTAGGACCCGCTACTTCTCTTAGGAATAGCATTGACTGATTGAAACTTTGTTTTGGCATGAATCAGTTTGATGCTTCCAAGTTAAAGAAGCTTAGACCAAGCTTCAAGGAGGATGGGGGATCAGTCACTGCTGGAAATGCGTCAAGTATAAGGTCCTCTTTCCTCTCTTACTTTCCTCGTTCTTTTGAACCTTTACTATGCATCTCTCAATTGCTCTTTTTTTTCTTCTTTTTCTTCATTTGTAACTCTGCAACCATTTGTGAATCTGCTTTACATTGGTGGATAGTGATGGTGCGGCAGCGTTAGTGCTGGTGAGTGGAAAGAAGGCTCTTGAGCTTGGACTACATGTTATCGCTAAGATTAGAGGATACGCTGATGCTGCTCAGGCACCTGAGTTGTTCACAACCACGCCGGCTCTTGCTATTCCTAAAGCTATAACGCGTGCTGGTTTAGATGCATCTCAAGTGGATTACTATGAAATAAACGAAGCCTTTTCTGTAATCTCGCTTATTGAGATCTTAGTGTTTTAAAGTTGTTGGGTATGTATTGAGAGGTATGACTGGTTTGACTTATTTCCGCCACAGGTTGTAGCTCTCGCAAATCAGAAATTACTGGGATTAGATCCGGTGAGTCATGAAACAAGTACAGTTATGGATGTTACCGTCTTAATTTCCAGTGTCTCTGATAATTTTTGTAAAAACAGGAACGGCTGAATGCGCATGGAGGGGCTGTTTCACTTGGGCATCCACTGGGATGCAGCGGTGCTCGTATTTTGGTCACATTATTGGGGGTAAGTCGTAAGCGCATGCAACAATGGTGTTGAAAATTGAATCCGTCCTGAAAATGTGGTTTCTGATTCAGGTGTTGAGGGCAAACAAGGGTAAGTATGGAGTGGCATCAATATGCAATGGAGGAGGAGGAGCATCAGCTCTTGTCCTTGAGTTCATGTAAGCTCCCTCTTTAACTCTGGTAGGTA